AGACTACATCCCCGTAGCTTTTTGACACATGAGCACCTAGGTGAGCATGCACCGGGGCCCAGACTCAGAGAAGATGGCAGTCCAGGCGGCTCTGCCCTTCTTTCGCGGCCGCTGGAGTCAGCTCTCGATGGCACCTGTGTCAACAGCTCCACGGCAGGGTCAGCGGCCTCCGCCAGACTCCACCACTTTTCCAGTGTCCTATTTTGCAACCTGTTTCCAAGAGAAAGCTGCGGTCTTGGCTCCCTGTCACCGGTGTGGGCATGCTTAGCAAAGTGAATGACAGGTGCATCCCACCGGCAGACAGCTTAGATACTTGTGAGAGTCATTGGAGTTGTGGGCCCATCCTGTGCGTGTATAAATAGACATATCTGTGTGTCTCCACACAGAGAAGAAAGAAAAGCACAACTTACAGGTCCTGGTATTCAGATCATTAAAGAAAGTGTATTAAAGTAATAGTGAGAGATCATTTTTTTAGGACTCAAAATGGCAGGTATTACAAATATGTAAATACCTGGGTTTATGCTCTGACACAGTCCTTCTGAAGGTATTTGCAGTATTAGAAACCGTAACACATACCTGCCCTAATCCAGAACCCCTCTTTAGCAATTTTTCCTAAAGAGATTATGAGCAAAAGCAAAGATTTAGCTCCAAGAATACTCACTGCTACACAGATTCTGTTCAGAAAAGTCAGAATCAACCTGAGTGTTCCAACAGTGTGTCCATTCAGCCCTGACGCAGCCGCTCAGCGGGGCAGAATTATACGTGAAAAACGGTGGTGAAGGGCAGGGATCAGCCGACTTTCTGTAAAGGGCCAGAGAAAAGACACATTAGATTTCATGGGCCACGTCTGGTCTCTGTGACATACTCATTTGTTTACAGCCATTTCAAAAATAAAAACCCGCCCTAGCCAGTTTGGCTCAGTGGTTAGAGTGTTAGCCGTCAGACTGAAGGGTCCTGGGTTCGATTCCAGCCAAGGGCACTTACCTCAGTTGCAGTTCAGTCCCTGGCCCCAGCCTGGGCACATGCAGGAAGCAACCAATCGATGTGTCTCTCTCCCATCAATGGTTCTCTCTCTCTCTCCCCCTTTCACGCCCTTTGAAGAGCAATGGAAGAAATATCCTTGGGTGAGGATTTGAAAAAATAAAAATAAATAAATAAATAAAAACCCTTCTCACCTTTCAGGTTGTGTAGGAATTTAGCCCACAGGCCAGAGTTTGCCAGCCCTTGATGTAGATACACGTGCATTAATATATTCATGAAATAAGTGAAAATATATACTGTGTAAAACAATGTGGGTAGGGAATGGTTCAGTTTTAGCTTAGGGGTGTGCGTGTATGTGTGTGTGTGCACACTAGTTCAGTTTATATGTCCGTATGTTTACACACATGTAGCAGAGACAGAAGACAATTGACCACAGTCGGGGACAGTCATCAGTATTTTCCTATATTTCTGCAGTGGTTTCTATATTATTACTCTAATGTGGAAGGAAGTCACTGTTACCTCTGTATTTAGAATTCAGCCTGAAAATTGGGAAAATACTGACTTTCATCCCAAAATCTGTCCTCCATTTCTTGTGATAATATTAAGGAAATCTCTTTTGTTGGTCCCAGTTTTTCATCCATTAAAGAAATAAGAAATAGACTGTCCAGCGTGGCTCAGCAGTTGAGCGTCAGCCCATGAACCAGGAGGTCACCGTCCGATTCCCTGTCAGAGCACATACCCTGGGTTGAGGGCTCGATCCCCAGTGGGGGGCGTGCAGGTGACAGCCGATCAGTGACTCTCATTATTGATGTTTCTATCTCTCTCCGTCGCCCTTCCTCTCTCTGAAATCAATAAAATAAAAATAAAAATTTGTTTTAAATAAGAAATAAAATAATGCTTCTGAAAAAAAATTAAAAATAAATAAAACCGGGGCCTCAGTGAGGACCATGGGCAGCTGCCGTATCGCAACAACAGAGCTCTCGCTGACTGACATGGGGTTTGCTTCTGACTGTTTTCTACAGTGTCTTTGGAGCCCCCCGAGTTTGAGATCGTTGGCTTTGTGGAGCACGTCAATGTGATCCTGAGGTTCCCACCCGCCTTGCCCACGTTGCCAGATGGGGAAGGCATGTGGTCTAACCTGCTGCTGATCATTGAAGAGGAGTCGGAGGGGATTGTGAAGCAGGTAAGAGGTGACAGCAGTTGTGAGTTGGCAAGGGCTCTCTTCTATGAAAAGGAAAACGGTATTTGTAATGATCTGAACAATGAGGACTGAAGGGTCTGGGTCAGTCTGTTCTGATTTCAGGAGAGAGGTCTCCACAGCTCACTCGTCGCCAGCTTAGCCCAGCAAGCAGTCTTCTTTCAGAGGATTAGCCACCCGCAAGGGGCACCCGGGCCGGAGGGGTGCGCGGTGTAGGTGGGAGAACAGGCACCTTTCAGCATCCAGGGTGGGCCTGTGAAGCAGATGAGGAGCATCAGTCCCCACGGCTCCAGCCCTCACGCGCTGTCAGAGGAAGGGCTGTTTGGGCAATTCTGTTTCCTCCTGGTTTCCCCAAAGAACCTAACTAAGCATCAGTAACCTTGGGGTGATCCTGGCATCGGGGAAGCTGGATCTTCAGTTATTTGTTCCCTCAGAAGGCTGGAGTGAGTGAAGAAGGACACACCGTGCCTGCTGGGGGGCCTCGCCGACACGGCAGCTCACGTTTGCACAGCCAGGCCCCGTGCGGGTCAGGCCAGCCCGCCAGGCTGCGAGCGGGGCATTTCAGGCGCAGGAAGTCAGAGGTCCTGAGGCCAGAGTGGCCCCAGGGGTTTGAGGAACAGCAGGGAACTGGCATGGAGTGGCCGAGACAAGAGAAGGAGGGAGGGAGGAAATGGGGAAGGATCTGGTAGGGCTTTGTGGGTCCGAGCCTGGAGTGTGATGGAGCCTCCTGGCTGGGGTGTTAAGAACGGACCACAGGATGATGGAGGAAGAAGAGGAGACGTCCAAACCTAAAGCTAGGTGGCCTGCCAGGTGCTCCTGGAAAAAGACATGCCTGCCCGGCCGGGCGTGGCTCATCGGTTGAGCCNCAGGTGCTCCTGGAAAAAGACATGCCTGCCCGGCCGGGCGTGGCTCAGCGGTTGAGCCTCGACCTACGATCCAGGCGATCAGGGTTCGATTCCCGGTCAGGGCACATGCCCGGGTTGTGGGCTCGATCAGCGACTCTTTTATCATTGATGTTTCTCTCTCTGTCCCTCGTCTTTCCTCTCTCTGAAATCAATAAAGATATATTTTGAAAAGAAAAGAAAAAGACATGCCCATGTGGTATTCACTGGGCACGCAGGTGGGGGCCAGTCAGCCACTGCAGGACAGATAACCCACCTGGCTGGAATGGCTGACACTTGAGAAATATGAAAGAGAAGCTAAAGAAAAAACCCAGAAACATGGTGCTCGTCTTGGGCCTTGGACATAGATGAGGGAGAACTAGACAGACAACACAGCAGGACTGGGCCATGCCTATTTTGAAACAGAAAAGAAGCACTGTACTTTGACAACTTTAAGTGATTATACAAAAGAACCTTCAAAGCATCTCTCTAATTCCAAAATGGAACAGAACTACCTACCTGAGGAAGGGGGGGCAAGGTGTTTTAAGGGAGGAGACAGGAAACCACATATCAGCCTCCGTTCTGCCACAGACAAGCTGTGTGGCCTCAGGGAAGTTACTTAACCACTCTGAACTATGGTTTCTTCATCTGGACAATAGGAATAATGTCTGCTTTGCAGACTTTGTTTTTAATGTTTTTATTGATTTCAGAGAGGAAGGGAGAGGGAGAGAGAGACGGAAATATCAATGATGAGAGAGTCATTGATCGGCTGCCTCCTGCACACCCCTGGCTGGGGGTTGAGCCCGCACCCAGGCATGTGCCCTGACTGGGAATCGAACTGCAATCTCCTGGATCCTAGGTCAATACTCAACCGATGAGCCACCCCAGCCGGGCTGCAGACTGTTTTGACTGTCCCATGAGTTAATATTAATGAAAGTACTTTCTAATGTAAAGCAGATATATGCCATTAATAAAACAAGATAATCTTACTGCAAGATAAGAGTAGCTTGCAAAAATGACGTCATGGAGACCTTTATTCCTCAGTGGGACTTTTTCTTCTTGTTTGTAAAATGAGATTTCATGGTTTAGAAATGAGTGTGTATACATGTACATGCAGTTTTGTGATAAACTGCTTGCCCCAGGTGACTTGTGAATTCTTTTTCTTGCCAAGCCTGTGATCTCTGTATCTCTATATAAAATTTGAAGACAAATCCCCAGAGATATTCTCAGAGCTTGCCTCTAAATAAAATTCTACTCCATGTCCTACTGATTTTTGTTTTTGTTTATTTTTACAGCATAAACTCAGAATAAATCAAAACACCACTGGGAATTTTATTTACACCATCGACAAGTTAATCCCAAACACAAACTACTGTGTATCTGTTTATTTTGAGCCTAAGGACCTGCAAACAATAAAGAGATCTCCTTTGAAATGTACCTTTCTTCAGCCTGGACAAGAATCAGGTATGACAGGTTTTAAAAATTGTTTTAAATGTTTGACTTTTATTCCAAGGGAAAACCTATCTAAAGAAAAGACTCTGAAAGCCGGAGAGCCCTGAGCATCTCTTCCACTAAAGGCACGTGGCAGAGGGGCTTTCTGCTGGTCAGTCTCCACTAAGTGGTGATCACCCTGATGTTGCCGTATCATAGGGACAGTCGGGTATAAGGTCAGAAATCCTTTATAAGGTCAGAAATTCTCCTGCAGTGGAAACGCTTTTATTTCAGGGAGTCAGAATAAAGTTCGGCTCTGTGTGCCCTTAGCTGGAGCATTCCTCAAGCCAGGTGCTGGAGGAGGCAGGGATACTGGAGGCAAGCACAGGCGAAGGTGTCCCAGGGCGATGGATACAGGCGGGCGGCGAGGTTGGGTATGGTTTGCACATCTGGCCTGTTTCTGGAGACAGTTGGCTGTAGCTCACAGATAAAAGGGAAACTGGCCCGTGGGGGTGATGTAGTCACTGAGGAGGCTGATAGCCTCTCCATCTCAGAGGCATTAGAACAGCAGACAGTGTCACCTCCTCACCTTCCTCCCAACGGAGAGCTTGACAGTGAGAACAGTCAGGCATAGGGACACTCACTACTCTGCTGCTTGATTCTTAGAAAGTCAGCCACGAAAATGTGAAGATCTTTTGGGCTTTATGAAGCGATCCGTGAATCGGGCGGCAACCCATCCAGCAATTAGAAGGGCGCTCCAATGAGTCGTACAACATGCAGTGTCCTCACAGGCAGAAAGGGGATGGGACTGACGTGAACAGAGTGAGTCACTGTAGGTCAGAGACCGCAGGGGTGTCATTCGGCCTACCGTGTCCCCCGTGTTGATCCCAGAAACTCCAGACTGATGGGTGGGTTTAAAATTCTCCCAGCCTGGGAGAGGATGCAGTTAGCTTAGTTAAGTTTTGGTTTGGTGACAGCTGCATAGTAAAAGTGACTCCATTTTGGCTGTTGTTTTTATTTATTTATTTTTCACAATCTTCACAACCACCCCGTAGACTGTCGGGGCTCACCTCACGCGTTAGAGAAGCCCGAGGTTACAGCTAGGGGCAGGTGTGGCTGGGCAAGAGCCCCTGAAGTCCAGGTGGCCCGAGCACTAGCCAGTGCCCTCACCCCCCTTCCTCATGCCTAGCCCGAGGTTGGCCACCCTTGGCTTTTAGGGGGAGCTGGCAGTTTCTCTTTTCTCTCCTGTTTCCGTTTGGCCTGAGGCTGTAACAGTCATCCCGGTAAAGGTCTTTCTGGAAATGGAAGAGAGCTTTAGGTACTGTTACACTGAAACCTGGAGGCCAGCAGCTCTTGTGAAAGAAAGGGCCTATGGAGCCCTAGTCTAGCCGGAAAAAAGGACCTGGGGCCAGGACACAGACGGCCTAAGCCGCAGGTCCACCACCCTGGGGCCCACAGCTGGTGCACAACCAGCGTGGATTAGAAAGCTGCCAGCTGTTTCCAAAGCGTTTCCACCGGCTGCAGATAAGGGGGCGGGGAAAGGTGCCCATCTGTCACTAAGGGAGAGAGATTCACTGCTTCCTGATTGGTTGTGGGCCGTCACGTGCTCCTACAAGCCTGGAGGGGCGGTCAGACCTCCGCGGGGAAGTTGATACAAAGTATCCACAGACAAGTTGATACAAAGTATCCACAGACGTGCAGGTGCGTGAGCCGGGCTGGTGCCGACTGATCCCTTGGTTCAGTTTGCTTGGGCTCGCGGTGGTTTAACTTAGGGCAGCTCAGCAGTTCCCGCTGGTCCTTCCCTCACAACCAATTTCTTCTCAGTCCAGTCGGACTTACAGAGGAAAGTTAATTTCGGTGGGAATGTTGCAGTTTTCCAAAGGGAATTTAGACGCGATGCTAAGGGGGAACTCGAGGACAGAGGGCTGAGCAGAGCCTGGACTTGGGGTCCCGGCCTGAGGATGACCCAGCTGTTGATTTCAGGCGGACCCCCCCCCCCATTGCCAACTTCTTCCTGCCTGCAGCACATACTGGCAGGTGGCCACTGATCGTTTGACATGTGGCCAATGTGACTCAGAAGCTGAGGGGTGTTTTCAGTTTTGATCCATTAAATGTAGGTAGTCGTGGGTAGCTAATCGCCACGGTACTGGACAGTGCTGTCATAGATCGTAATTATAAAGTGGAAGTAATTTTACTTTTGAAAATGAAATCTGTCATTTTTATGTTTTTTTAAAGTACACTTGGATTACTTTCCATTTTTATTTTTGTACGTAATGAGAGTTTTTCCAACTATTGCTCCTTCAATGACTCCTTCACCACCAGACCCACACCTGTTTGTTCCAGCCTCTGATCGATTGGATGTCTTTTGAAATAAAGTTATTTAATTTTTTTGCAGCAGAGTCATCAGAATCTGTCAAAATAGGAGGACTGGTTGCCTTGTTTTTCACAGCATCTATGTTCATAAGCACCATAGTATTACTGAAACGGATTGGTTATATTTTCTTACGACATGAGGTCCCCAAAGTGTTGGTATGTAGTTTTTTTTTATTTCTGTCTTTATTTTTATTTTACCTTGAGAGTTTTTCTTCTATACTCAAATATTTGCACAGAAGAAAGCCCCATTTTCTAAAAGCGCCAAGGCATTTCGTCACAGTGGGTTCTTCTCTATTCTTAGAAACACACATTTTGCATCGTATGTTTTCCTTTTTGGCTTTGTCCACGTGTTGTTTTTGGCAATCACATCTTATTCCATTGGTGTGAATGCATCATCCTTCCCTTTATCATCTCCCAGCGGTGGAGCATTTAGATTGGTTTCTTTTCTGTTTCTTTTCCTTTAACTTCTTTCTTTTTTGGCCATTAAGAATAACACAGTGGACATTTCTGTATCTTTTTATTTCGGAGTACTTCAGTGGAGCGTGCACATAAAGTGGATTTATCTTATGAGGAGATGAGGAAGTAGTTTGTGACGCCGGTGGTGACACGTAGGTGTGCACATTTCTCCGAAGCTCTGCTGACACTGATTAGTCAATGTTACCGCTTTCGTCCATTTCTCGTGCATGCAACAGTCCCCCACGCTTGCTCTCCTTTGTGTTACTTTCACTGTTAGCGAAAGTGGCTACTCTGTCTTCATTTCCTCTGCGTTCCCAAAGCAGAGTTTCTGTTCAGAGCCTTCACCCATCAGCCCAGTCTGGGTATTTCACATATTTCCAAATGCTCCTCATGTCTTGTGACTCAGCTATGTTTCCCCATCATTTATCATCTTCCTATCCCATTGCCTTCTTTCTGTATTAGTTTTGTGACTTTTCATTCACAGATGTCTTCCCTTTCTGTGTTTGAACCCATTCACCTTCGTCTCCTAAGCGTTTGACAGCCGCATATTTAAATATTCCTCCGCAGCTGATAAGATTGAGGCCTTCTTTCTCTTGCTGTTTCTGTCGGTTGGGGTGGGGTTGGGGAGGGTCGTTATGGGGCCGGTATGGGCGCTTTGGGGGATTTTAATTCCCATGAGTATCTGAACTTAGCTGGCATCTGGCTGTGCCCTCTGCGAGGCGAGGGCTCTGTGTTGGGCTCCCTCCGCACCGCGATGGGAAAGGCAGAGCTGCTCGTGCTTGAGAGGGCCGCGCTGGAGACTCTTTGTGGCTTTTGGGTAAGGAAGATCCTCAGACACAAAAAGCAATACCCTTAAAGGAAGAGCGTGGATACGTTTTCTTACATGAAAATTAAGGATTTCCTTTCCTCAAATGCCACGATAAAGAGAGTAAACAGATGAAACCACAGACAGGAAACAACATATGTAACAATAACCAACAAGTCATCAGCATTCAGATAATGTAAGGCGCTCCCGTGAATCAGTAAGAGAAAAGATGAACAGCCTAATAGAAAGCTCAGCCCAAGCCTGGGTCTGGGTAGAGCAGGGAGGAGGTTTGTTAGATGGAGCAACCCAAGCAGCCTGTAGGACAGGGAGGGGGTGGATGCTGTCAAGATTCCAGGCCGGCGAAAGGAATCCCGTGCCACCCGCCTCATCGTCGGCCCCCTGGCAGTCAGTCATTGGGAGCCAGGGTGCAACTCAGCCTGCCTGTATTCTCAGCTCACCCCACCTGTGTGTTCTGGAGGCGTTTCTTCCAAGGGCTGGAATAGAGTGAGCCCCAGTCTCCGGTGTCCCGGACCCTATAGAGGTCAGTCCGGGGGCTTTGACCCCAACGGAATCGGCTCCCATGGTCTCTCATCCCCCACAGTTTCTCAGCACCCCTCAGAAGGTCTTGGCGATCCAGAATGGAGGTCTCTCTGGCCTGCATGTGGGCAGCAGTGAGGGGCGGGTGTAGGGAGGACGGGCCATCTGCCTAGTTTGAAACCCGGGTTGCACGGACTGTTCATGAACCCTGGGCCAGTTTCTCAGCCTCTGCCTCATTTTTTCGCCTGTAAAGGGGGGGTGGGAACAGTCAGCCTACCTCACGGAGAGGCTGCGAGGGTGAAATGAACGTGTCAGGCACGCGGAGCAGCGCCCAGCCGACAGTGAACAGCCTAGAACTGGTAGCTGCGATTGGCGCCATCACCGCCCCCGTCACTGCGCAGCCAGTCCCATGAAGTCGCATTCTGTCCAGAGAGGAAGGGCAGGCACTCACAACTGATTCTCTCTCTCTCAGGACTTTAGAAACTTGGCAGCCTGGGCGTTTCCCGAGCCGCCGGCCCTGGAAGCCGTGGCCGTGTTGGAGGTCATTCACATCAGTAGGAAGAAAAAGGTGTGGGATTATAACTATGACGACGAAAGTGACGATGAAGCGGTGCCCCAAGCAAGCGCCGGGGGCTACACCATGCACAAACTCATAGTCGGGCCTCTGTGTCCGGCGCCCACCTGCTCGGCTACCCTGGAGGATACCCTGGACGACTGCAGCGACCCGGACACCGAGGACTCCCAGGAGCCCGAGGCCGAATCCCAGGCTCTGATGGCTCCCGGGCCCGGGCCCTGGCCAGAGGAACACACCAGTGGGGCCTACAAGGGGAGAGGGGCTCAGCCGGCGGACCCCTTTCCCAAGGAGGACAGCAGCTCTGTGGAGAGCTCTGGGGACAGAATTTTCTTCAATGTGGACTTAAACTCCGTGTTTGTGAGGGTCCCCGACGACAGCGATGATGACAACGATGACTCAGAAGACCCTCCGGGGTTCTGTCTTCCGGAAGAGCTGGATGACTTCAAGGCGGCTGAAAGGGAGAGCAGCCTTCTGGCGGCCAGTGGAGAAGGTGCACAGCCGGCCTTCCCAGGCCCCCCCGTGGAGTGCCTGGGGCCTGAAGATGCACCTTTTAATAGAAGTGACACTTCCAAGTCAGACATTGACATCGGGGGCAGTTATATGAGACGAATTCCAGAATGTTGAATTAACTGACAGCTACCTCTCCCAGACCCTCACTGCTCCTGTGGTCTGCAGGTGTTCTTGGGGGGCAGAGCCCCCCTTCTTCCTGGAGACATCACCTATACAAATTCCTGGAATAGGGGAGGGAAGGGCAAACCTAGGTGTCATTACCTGTGCAATTTTTACATGTTCAGAGTGACAGGCTTTGCAGGGAAGATGCCCTGTCCTGTGCTCATGCATTCCTCACGTTTCTGCCTGATTCCCAGAGGAGTGAGGTTCAGGAGCGGCCCGGGCCCTGGGGAGTCATTCAGTGGGGCGAGGGTGAGCGTGGCAGGGAAGGGAAGACGGCTGGGCTCACAGCCGGAGCAGTCAGCAGTGCCTCCCACAGGCTCCAGAAAAGAGCAGGAAACAGGCAGAAAAAGCCGTGGAGGGTGGACCACAGGGGGGACTCACAAAAAACAGAGGACATGTTCCCAGTTGATGTAAGGAAGGGCCAGCCAAGACTTGGCCACCTCTCAGGTGACATGTTCTGTTGCCTCCAGCCTGGATTGGACCCGGCCCTCCTCCAGCCCTCCTCACTCCAGTGAGGAAGGCAGACACACACATCTCTCCAGCGTCAGGCAGGAGAGAACAGAGGAAACAGGCATCTGCATGAGGCAGAGAACTTGGTGCCATATTTTATTTTTTTTTAAAGCCAGTAAGACAACAAATGCAAATATGCTTTGAGGCCTTCAGAAAAAGTAAAGCCTAGAACTCCTGGAGGTCATCTTAATCCTGTGAAGGGGGAAGGGGGGGGG